TTTATTCTTTACTCTATTTGTTCTCAGTTCAATACAATACACCAGCGGCGATCGTACCGCGAGATACGTTGTCGGAAATGTCAGCGATCTGTCTGCTCGCCTACTCAGATKTTATGAATTACTTGAAGCTGGTAGAAGATCGCTAATCAAAGTACATTTGTCTATACAGACAATATATATATATATATAAGATAGTAATGGTTGATGTCTGTTTTATAGACGTGAATGAATGCCTTTTTAAGTTTGATTAGTATTTTGTTTGTGCGTTTTGAAGGTCATCAAACATTTGCAAATCTGTATCTTCACGTTTTGTCACTAAAGAAAGCAATAAACACACAAATTTTTTGCGAAAACTCGCGAAAACGAGACCGAGTTGAAATTAACGACTCTCTCGCAGTAATGCAGCGCAACGACTGAGTCGCTCAGACAAACTGTCTGCTGATCGCAAGCTTAGATTTTCTATAAACAACACTGTGCTACACAAGGCAAGGAAATTGGAAATTCTTTCTATTTTGGTTAGCAATCACGTTTTGTTTTTCGAAAACTTTTGGTGAATGCTCGCTTATATATTTAGAGGCTGAATTGATTTCTAAAGTGCAAAAATAATTGTTTTTAACGGCTTCTGAGAGTCTATCCCAAAATCCGATAGCCAAAGCCTTCAAATATTCTTCAGAAGTTCACGAGCTGTCAAAACGGTGGCTCTGTTTAATGTCAACCATTTAACCTCGATACTGATATAACAAAAATAAAGATTGAATATTTAAAACATAAATTTTGAAACTTTGATTCAGTAGTAATTACGGTATGTGAAGTAAGTAATAAAATTTTCCGATTGCAAATCATATTTGAACTTGGGACTGGAACAAAAATTAGTACTAACTTTCTGGGATACTTATATTTCTTCTCTTCATTGTCGTACACAACGCTTACGTGGTTATCGCCGAGTTTACAACAGCGCGCCAGTCGTTCCTGGAGATTCCATGTACAGCCAGGTCCTTTTCCAGCTGGTCTTTCCAACGGAGTGGAGGTCTTCCTCTTCTTCTGCTTTCCCCGTTGAATCCTCTCACAACTGAAGTGTTTTCATTCATTCCGAAGATATGACCTAGACAGCGTAGCTGCTGTCTCTAAATTCGCTGAATTATGTCAATGTTGTCGTATTCTCGTACAGCTTATCGTTCCATCGATTGCGGTATTCGTCATTGCCAATGCATACAGCAGGACGGGAATGGAATGTGACTTACAGAGCTTGGTCTTTGTTCGTCTGAGAAGGACTATACTTCTGAATTGCCTACTCATACCGAAGTAGCGCTCAATAGCTTTTCTGCGTTGAATGTCGAGGTTGACATTGTTTTTGATATTAATATTGGTTTCAGATAGACGAAATTATCTATGACTTTGAAGTTTTAACTGTCAACAGTGACGTGGGAGCCAACAGCGTGTGCGACATTTTTTTTTTTTTGATAGTACGCTATGTTTCGTCGTCCTCGTTCACAAACAGACCTATTTACTTCATTTCCTTATACAGTCTGGAGAGAACAGAACTAACGGCGCGGTTGTTGTGGCCAATGATATCAATAGGGTGTCGGAAACCTCGTTTGGTATCAAACGGCTCGGAAAGGTCCTTTTCGATCCTGACCAAGCTTTTGATACTGTTCAATTTCAGCCGGATTAATTTTGCGGGGATACCAAATTCAGACAGAGCGGCCTAAATACAGCTCTTTTTCGTGCTTTCGAAAGCAGCTTTGAAATCGATGAAGAGGTGGTGTGTGTAGATCCTCTTTTCACGGGTGTTTTGCAAGTTTTGGCGCTTGGTCAATATCTGGTCAGTTGTTGATTTTCCAGGTTTAAAGCAACACTGATAGGGCCCAATCAATTTGTCTACGGTGTGACCAAGTGATCTCTTATGAAGTTAAAGTGTGTAAGGATATTCGAGTGTTCAGATAGGTGTTCTTTTAAGAACCCAGATAAGGGTTTTCTATTTAAATTTGAATATTTCTTTCCATTAGCCTCACCTTAAATTTTGAACAGCAGATGATCAACATTTAACTCAAACAGCACGATCATATTTTTATTAAATTTTGTAAAAATAATTTATTTTTTAACTGATTTTTTAATTTTTAACTTTTCCAGTTAAGCTGACAAGCCATCAATAATCACAATATAGCGTAGTGTCTCCGTATTAGTGGCGACCACCTGTACAGTAATACTTCGTTCACCTATACCGCCCGCCGTAACATACGCTTGCGATGTAAAGCCCGCGTCGCCCTCCACATACAAACTGACTTTCGTAATAAGTTGATCGCCGGCGCCGGTTGAATCGCTAACGGCAGCGTCATCAGTTGATTTAGGATATTGTATATTAACGATTATTTCATTTTGGTCAATATTGGGTGTAACGGTCTCTTGAAATTGGTAAATCGGTACAGCACCTAAGTGATGAATTATGGAAAATAGTTTTAATGAAAAACTCAAAATTTCTTTTTATTCAGAAATTATACCGTCAACGGTGCTGCCCAATGTGAAATGTTCAACTGTCGTGGCATCCGAGGGGCTTAACGGTTCTCGCTCCGAAGACGAAGACGTTGCTGTAAGGGCCAATATAGCGACGATGAAGCAGTTGAAATTAACGCTCATCTCTGAAGAAGTGTGCTCTAATATTTCTGCAAATCGATGTTGCACTAACTGAATATTTTATTTTTCGATTCTTATATATGAGCAACAAGTATACACGAACATAACTGATTGCTTGTGAACCCGTATCGTTGTTTACATTGTTTGTAACCGCCTTCCGCGGCACCGTTTGTAAATTTCATTTCTGATAAAACATACTTATCTACTTATTTCTAATAGAATAACAACAATTTATATCGACTAATTACGAGGTTTGGTTTCGTAGTATCTATATTGGACAGAAATATTTATCGTAAAAGTTACACTTATACTTTAACATCAATCATTATAAAAGTTATATTAAAACATAAAAGTGAGAGATTTTATACTCGTAGAGCGACGAGAGCATTGCTGTTAATGCTGCATTTGGAAAGCTATAATCTCTCATCTTAATCAGCATGACAAGTGACTAACGATAAATAGCAATATAGAGAAATGCAAGCTGTATCTCATATATTAAATGACGTACTACAGTGACTGAGAGACAGAGTTAGAGAGAGTGAGCGTACCTCTCGGTGAGAAGTGGGTTCGAGACATGCTCGGTGAAAGTAATAAATTATCGAAAAGTATTCTGAAAAGAATTTTTCGAATAGTCCTCAGTGTTGTGAGAGTTTTAAGAAAAATTTAATTCTCTGCAATTATTAATAAAGGGTGGATTCTTTAGACTTCTTTCTTGTGACTTATGGCACGATGTCTGAATTTGGTATTCCCACAAAACTAATACGACTGTATAAACTGATGTTGAGAGGCACCAAAAGCTTTGTCAGCATCGGGAAGGACCTCTCCGAGCCGTTCGATACGAAACGAGGTTTGAGACATGGCGACTCCCATTCGTGTATCTGCTTTAACATACTTTTGGAGAAGATAATTCGAGCTGCAGAACTAAATAGAGAAGGCACCATTTTCGATAAGAGTGTACAGCTGCTGGCGTATTTTGTTAGTTCTGCTTTCTCCAGAATGGATATGACAGCGAAGCAAATAGGTTTGGTGGTGATCTAGGCCAAGACGAAATACCTGTCATCAAACAAGTAGTCATCCCTCTCGTGACTAGGCACCCACGTCACTGTTGACAGTCATAACTTCGAAGTCGTAGATAATTTCGTCTATCTTGGAACCAGCATCAACACCAACAATAATGTCAAACTCGAAAGCCTACGTAGAATAACTCCTGCCAACAGGTGCTACTTCGAACTGAGTCAGCAATTGAGAAGTAAACTCGTCTCTCCACGAACAAAGACCAAACTCTATAAGTCACTCATTATTGATGTTTTGCTATATGTTGCAGAGGCATGGACGATGACAACATCTGATGAGTCGACGTTACGAGTTTTCTAGAGAAAGGTACTGCGAAAGATTTATTGTCCATTGCGCGTTGGCCACGGCGAATATCACATTCGATGGAACGAAGAACGAAATCGATCCATGGATCCACGTTGTTCCGAAGTAAGTTTATTCATTATGAAATGAAAAACCAAACTGAGTTTAATTCAAGGAACTGTTAAAAAGAACGATGCCGAAAACAGTGCTGGCTAATTGAAAACCACACGCCTAATAAAACACCCGTTATATTTAAATCTTCACCGCAGTGACTTTCAACAGAAATGAGAGGTCAGAGCGCCACACAAGATGAATGAAATAAAAATTATGCAACTTTTAGTTGAGAGTAATTTCTGGTTTGTGCTAGTAACTAGATTATTAACGTTTCTAAGCTGGAAAGTACGTAAGTAATTATGCTACAAGCTATGAAGCTTCTTGTTTGCCTTTTAAGGGATTGTTTTGGTATAAGATGGTAACCATTGACTGACACTTGGTGAATAGGATTCAGTTGATTTTATTTAAGCATATGCGCTTCCATTTCACAGAGGTTAAACCCCCTCATGAAATTTAACACAATTTAAATTAATTTAAGATTTCAATTTTTGGCATCCGCAACCATTGTACTTTCAGACACAAAGCCTGAAAATTATTCAAACACCGAAGAGGGCGCCGTGGAAATCAATAAAAGCCCGGGAATTAAATTCTCCAAAAAACCTTCCAAGAAAAAGCAGGACAGAGCAAAGGAACTAAAAATAGTTTTATTGAATTCCGGAAGTAGAAGTTCTTGGAAACGCAATCGCGTGGCGGCATACGCAGTAGTGCTTGCATTTCAATATTGTGCGCCAAAATGTTGCACTGACTGAGAGATCATCACCTCTTTCAATTTTTACACTTAAAAGCATGCTCAAGTTCAGATCACATGCATCATAGAGATCACTTACAACCATATATGTACTTGTATGTTTCACGGAACAAAATAAATTACAGTTTTTTTATAAATAACTGTTTCGCGGAAATATTGTTCAACTGAAATATTCTTATCGCAATGTAATAAGGTGAGATGAGGTGAGATGGAATTTGTTTTGAACAGTCAGTTGTGCGAAACAGAAGCGGCGGTTTGGTTGAATCGCGCATTTTACGGATCAAGTGTTTTTGCAAAAACTCACAGATATTTGTAATTAAAATTCAAGTGCGTGACAGCAAAAGAATCGCATGAAATTTGTGTTTTTTTTTAATAATAACTAAACAAAAAACAATAATATATAGAATAACCAGCTAAAAATAAAAATATGCTTATGAGTGTAACGTGAAACAGAGAGAGAAATTTATTTGGTTTAATTAAGTAAATTATTTATAAATAACAAAAAATATATAGTTTATATCCTTCATCCATTGAAAACAGAAAATACAGTTTATATAAATTTTTTTTAATACCGAATGCAACCGACTTTCGTTTACAATTAAAATGTTTGCAACATCAAGGCGAATTAGCTTCGTGTTAATTGTTTTATTTGCTTGTTCTAGGCTTGGAGCGGCAGATCAGGAAGGTAAGTTATATTTAATATTTTCGGAGATGTAAAGTTTTAGCCGAAATATCATAAAAAATTCATTAGCTGAAATCTTTTAGTTTATGTTATTTAGATTTATATAATATAATATAACCTGTGGTTCGTACAGATGTCTGATAGTTCTGAAAATAAAATTACGTGAGAGAGATGAGAGTATAACAGTAAATTAAAATTATTTAAATTATGAATCAAAGCAATGGCGAAGTCTGTATGAAAAATTATTAAGAATACGATTGTTATCACTGGAGCAACATCTTGCAGCAGGGCTGCTCCGTATCTTCCTTACTCATGCTTATTTCTCAGACGACTGCGATTATTGTCGAAGTACGGAGCCGACAGCACATGATGTAAGGGCAAAGAAACGTTCTTGGCAACATATAAGGCAATCGGCCGGTCGGTCCTTAACTACGCTGCACCAATATGGTCGCCTGGATGTATTGAAATGCTAAAAATATATCAGAACACAGCAAACCGGACTACAGCACGCTGCCTCTTGATGTCTCCCATCGAACAGCTGCACAGTGAGTCCCGTATGTTTCCAGTTAAGGAGCATAATGAACTCCTCTCAAAGCACTTTCTACTGGGGTGCTTTCGCAGAAGTCATCTCTGCAGTCACTTGTTTAGAGCGCAAACGCCTTCTAGGAGCATCCAGAGTTGCTTCCTCAACTACGCCAACGATTTAAAACAATACGCCAACCAGACTTCGGACCCAACAAACTTCAGACATGCACCGACCGCCATTCATAGTGGAACCATTAACACTTTCACGCACTCCCTCTCAGAGAATGGCGTACTTGGAGTCAAACCACCACTAATTGCAGACGAAGAACTCCAGTTGCTTTGCGTGGCTTTATTCTGGATGCTGTATCGGGTTAAGGTCCTACTTATCCAGAATCGATCCTGACATTACAAACTGCAAGCAACGAGTCCCCTTATGACACTAGCCACCTCTTTGCGTGCCATGTTAACTCCCTACATCTGACAGCACCTGGGTCTACTATTGGATGACCTCGATGACAACTTACCATCCTATACGGATTATGTACCCGTTACAACAACAGATTATTTTGTCATATTGCATTGATCTCATGTTAAAATCTTGGTCCTACTAATTTTTATCCTGTGCTTTAGTCTATGCATGGTTTCGTTCTATAGTTGTATCATATACATATTTTCTTCGTTCGCCTAAATACATTTGTTAATGCATGCTCTATTTTCATTAAAGAAAATGATCCCTGCGAAACCGACGATTATAGAGGGGTGTGCTACACAGCACAAAATTGTCCACATTTAAAGGATGCAATGACAGTAATGGGCCTCAATAGCACTTTCGTGGGGACTTGTGGATTCACGGTTTGGGAAGAGATCATTTGTTGTCCGTAAGTATTTTTTCAGAACAAATTTAACCAATTTTATTTTTTTGTATCGAACATGCGTCACTTTATTTAATAGAAATGAAGAGAGTTTTAGAACAACAACCACTAAAACGACGGAATTCACCACGATATCATCAAAATCCATACGCGATTCGCTAAAAGGGCTTTCGCCCGAGGAAAGTAAGCGGCGAATCAAAGAGTTGATGCGTGAAGCAATGGGTGGATTGGAACGACCGCCAATGAAGAGGTTGCTACAAATGATGGCTATTTAAGTGCTCGTTTGTAAATTATACTTTTTGTTTTTTGCAGCAATGGCACAAGTTTGCGTTCATCGGAACGTCCAGCTGATCGTGGTGAGTATAGCAGAATAACACAACAAAAAATTCAATACAGCAACTGAAAAATATTCTGTAAAACATTTCAGCATGCAAAGAAATTGAAAAACAGTTAATGCCTAGTCTGCAAGCGCATGTACTTAATGGAAGAGCGACCAATTTTGGCGAGTATCCGCACATGGCGCGAATTATATTCGACTTAGATAGATTGCGATGTGGTGGCGTTTTAATCGATAAGCGTTTCGTGCTCACCGCTGCGCATTGCGTGCGAAACAAACAGGGTAAACCAATCAAGGTTGTGTTGGGCGTAAGTGACTTTAATGATAAAACTCAGATGGACTATCGACAGGATATAGATATTAAAGTAGGTTGATAAAATTATCTCTACACTTTCGTGGTTTCTACTAACAGTTTTTGAAATTTGAAATTAGCAAACCCATTTACCGCAAAACTACAGTGAGTTTAGCTTTTACGATGATATTGCTTTGATTGAATTGGCCAGAGATGCCGAGTTTAGCCAAGGCGTATATCCAACCTGTCTATACACCGACCAAATGGAAATGCCCTACGATATTGATCTAATTGTCACTGGTTTTGGCATAACCGAAAACAAAAGTACGTTATCTGAATGCAGTCTGCTGCTTTTATTACTTTCTTCTACTTTATTTGTTATTTTTATATTTTTAGATTTATCCGATCGTTTATTAGCGGCCAATTTGACGTATATACCCGTTTTATTATGCGATCAAAGTTACGCTGATGTCAAGGATATTCGTCTCAACCGCGGCATCGTTGACACACAGCTCTGTGCCTTTTCACCGGATAGTGATGCTTGCCAGGGTGACTCTGGCGGTCCGATACATATTGTCAAAGATAAACATTATAATAATTACCGAGTCGTTGGCATAGTTTCATTCGGCTATGAGTGCGGTTCGGAATTACCGGGTGTGTACACTAGAGTGTCGAAATATTTAGATTTTATCGAAGCCGTTGTATGGCCGGATGGCTGATTGCTGTGGCTATGTAACAAAACTGTATTATGTATTTCGATACGTTTGTATGCTATTATTATTAGTAAAAATGTAGGATTCTTCGGTAGTTATAAAAATTATTTGCTTAATTTATAGAAAAATTTAGTAGAACAAATAAATTTATTTATAAACGATTATTATTAGTCCGCGAACGAAGACTTAAAATTTTCTTACGTTTTCTGATTTTTATATCATTTTACGTTGTTGTATTATTGCTTGGAATCACGCTCAATTTATGCGCCAATTGGTGTAGTCGAAAAAGTCTTTTCGCATTTGTCAATAGATGTCGTTGCAGTCGTATATCTCTAATGCTACCAATACCTCATATAGTGTTGGAAAGCTAAGATTTTAAGCTTCATTTAACTTAATTAAATTAAATTCCGGAAAGGTAAAAAAAAGATACGCTTAATATTCATCATCAAATGGTTTTGAAGCATTTAAAAAACGCTGGCTACAAAAAGAAGCTCGATGTTTGGGTACCACATGAATTTTTGCACCGAATTAAGATCTGTGATTCTTTGGATTGAAGCAAGCAATCGAAAAAAACGGTCAGAATTGATCAACAGAAAGGGCTTCGTCTTCCATTAGGACAACGCTACACCACACACATCTGTGATGACTTTGCAAACACCAAGAGATGGATCGCTACGTTCAACGTATAGTGAGGAAAATGTAGCAGCCGTTGTTGAGAATATGCAAGAAGAGTGTAGAGGGTTGATCCGGCGCAACAACTCGGATTGAAGTATGGAACAACTTGACGCATCTTACATCGATATCTTAAATTGAAAGTATGCAAAATACAGCTTGTGCAAGAACAGAAACAGGTCGACCTTACCAAGCGACATCACTTCGCTCTGTGGGCTCTTGAAAAGTTCCAAGAAGATTTGACGTTTTCGATCCATATTTTGTTCAGCGACGAGGCTCAATGGTTATGTGAACAAGCAAAAATTCCTCAATTGGGACAAAGAGCAATCTAAAGAGGTTAAAAAACTGTCATTTCATTCAGAAAAATCAACAGTTTGGTGTGGTTTGTAGGCATACAACACTTCAGTCAATAGATTTATGGGAAGAACAACTCAGTGAGCAGATAATTTCACGTTTTAGGTCGGTCGATTCGCCATCAGATCCGTGTGATGTAACACCATTAGACTTTTTTCTGTGGGGATATGTAAAGTCTAAAGTCCTTGAGATACGTGAGATACTCACTACGATTTACGCCTTGGAGCAAAATGCTCGAACAAGTCATCGAAAGTGGGACTCATCGGATGAACCAACTGAGACGTAGCCGTGACCAAATTTAAAGAGATAATCCTAAAAAAAATAAATGAAAAATAATGTTCTTCAGATTGATGATAAACATTTCAGAAGTTTATGTGCTTTTTTCTTAAAAAATAGTAGGGAACCTCAAAATGGATCACCTTTTATAATGAATTCCACAAATTCTTGTACTCTACCACAGATATATTGAGCTCAAATGAAGATATCCGAATATGATTTAACAAAAATTATGTTTCTAATGAGTCGCATCGAAAATTGGTTAAAATCGGTCTATATCTCCGGCACTTGCTATAGCTGAATTTATACCGAATATATCGGTCAAACGCAAATATATTTTAGTGAATTTGGCTGCGGATTGTGTTCTCGTATGATTTACTGGGAAGAAAGATGGAATGGACAAGAAAGCATCGAAAGATTTATTTCGCAAGCGCTTTCGGTGTTACTGAAAATCAGCGAGTGATAAGAACTACAGAGGCATACTTTACTGATTTATTTTTTGAATATCTCGGCTTATATGTAAATATGTATGAGCGATTGCCACATTCCGTTTTGCACTACTCGTTACAATGTTTTTCTCATGATTCATTTATTACTTTTCAACCGATTTATAAGCTCTACTTTATTACGAGGTTTACACAAAAAGTATCGCGAATTTTGAATTTTCACGGGCTGTATGTTTTGTTCCGTTATGTTGGTACTTATATCCCTTACTTATGCTGACAAGTTCGGCCATTTTGAATGTTTAGTTAATTTTTGTGAAGCTGTTGCGTTGCGTTGACATTGCTCAGGAGATGTTGGACTCACTCAGTGACGACCCATATCTGCTTCAGACGAACATAACTGGTGACAAATCATTGGTTTATGATTATGACGTGGGTGGAATTTGTGGGTTTTGCTAACAGTTTTCTTCGGTTGCAATGGTGGCGTGTGTCATGAGGTTTTGCCAAAGGGATTTGTGCTTGTGCGCCGTATTTCACAGGCCTGAACACTGCGATTTTCTTGTTCTCAGAATTGAAGAGGTCCATGAAAGGGCGACGATTGAGGAGATAAAACTGCGTCGAAGGATCGGAGATCAGAAAAAATTACTTCTTTAAGTGCTCTGAGGATTGGAAAAATGCCGGCAGATGTTCACTATATCTGAGGATGATTACTTTGAAGGGAACAAAATATGTATATTCACGAATAAATAAACACTTTCTTAAGAAACACAAAATTTGCTATAGTTTTGGAACAAACCTCGTATTTATTAATATTTCAACCTATCATACCAGTCGAGAAATTCCATATTTGTATTTGCAAAATCAAATGAGTCAGACCGAATATTTGGAAGAATTTGATTTCAGCGAACTTTCAGTTTAATATTTATGGTATGATACTTAAGAGGAAACTACTAACAGTCGGGTTGTGTATTTCTGTGAAGCGTTATTTGAAGACTCCGTGTGCGACCACAAACTTCTTTGATATGTTACATTGACCTTGTTGATTATTTTCCTTCAATAAGGGATACTTAAAATATGCTTATGCTATTATCAGCAACGATATGTGTTCAAACCAATTTTTCTCGCAATAAAACTCAACAATTCGACGCTGAATGTTTCAGTTGTTGAGTGGACGAAACGACGATCACACATGCGAATTATAGCGGAATCGAAGATTGTTTTTCAATCGCTCATACTGCAGATACGTTAAAACTGGGTCTATCGTATATAAATAAGGGTAGTGTTGAACATTTGCACTCAAGATAGTCAAAGTGTAGTGAAAATAAGTGAAATAAGTCAACAAAACTAGAGCTCTAAGAATCGGGAATCGAGGCATCGTAAAAAAGTGCATACTAGACTGTCTTATAGACAAAATTTGATTTCCAAGCAAAATGCACAAAATAGCCGCAAATAAGCTTAAGGAGCACACTCGGTTGTTTATCTTTCTCATACTGAGCGCTCTCAGCGCTGCGAAACAATACGACGGTGAGTAAGAGCACAATTCGGTGAGTTATTCAAGGCATACTAAAAGGTGTTGTAATTTAGAGGGTGATTTCTGTGATTTTGCGGGTTACAAAGGCACATGCTTGAAAGCCACAAGATGTGCTTATTTATCGGCCTTGGCGCATACCTTGGATTTGAAGCGAGAGCAAATTGGTCATTGTGGTTTTTCGGTGATGGAAGAAATAATTTGTTGTCCGTAAGTACTAAGTCGATTTTTATGCCAGTAAAAAAATACTTACATATTTCACATTGTTTTGCAAGTTTACCAATACCGCAAAGTACAGAGCCCAACATTTTAGAAGAATTTAAGCCGACCGAATCCCGTGCGTTATCTGAAGAGAGTAGTGCAAAGTCTGCAGCAGGCATACAAATAGACACCGTTCGTTCAAATGTTAAGGATAAAAATATTCTTGATATTCTTGACAGCATATTCAAAAAAAATGTTGAACCGATTGTGGCTGTGAACGAAAACGAGCGAATAAAAATGCCAAACGGAAATCCAAATGAAAGACTAATCCAATTATTTAATGTAAACGTACCGATTCATGGTAATGCCGAGGGCAGCATAAAAGGTAGCAATGACAATCGGGTGCCCGCTGGAAAGGTTAGACAACGATTGCAAGATATTGACATTTTCGCGCCAGATAAGGCGAAAGGTAATTATACTTTCTAGCCGAATCGCAGACCTGTGCTCATTTCTTCTCATACATATGATATTTAAGCTAATTTACCATGTGAGACGAGACACTATAATGGCAGTTGCAAGACAAAATTACAGTGTAGACATTTAGCCGCTAGCTTGGCTGACATGCGTTTAAATGAAACGGATGTGGCTTATTGCGCTCAAGAAGATTTAATTTGTTGTCCGTAAGTATTTTAGTTAGTAGTAGTAAAGAAAGAGTCTTGTTTCACTTCAATTTGTAATTGAACAATTAATTGTATTCGCAGCAATATTGAGCGATTAGCTGTTCGTGGTGAGTATTGAAGAAATTAGTTTGCTTGGGTTGTGCCAATCAATAATACTAATATTCCTTAGCCTGTCGAGACATTGAACGCAGTTTAGGGCCATATCAAGGGGGACATGTTTTCGGTGGCCATAAAGTGTCCGCCACGGAATATCGTTTTATGGCTCACATTTTGTATGACCGCCCGGATCATATCTGTGGTGGCACATTGATTCACAAGCGTTTCGTGTTAACAGCAGCGCATTGTGTTATAGTAAGAGGAGTCAACGCCGAAAAAGTAATTTTGGGTGTTGCTAATATAACTGATCCTAAAGAAGCGCGCTATCGGCAAGATATACGTATTAAGGTGAGTAATATACATATGTATGTATATGCACATTTAAACTTTTGAAGTGGAACTTAATTAGRCAAAATTATGTTAGGTTAGGTTAGGTCGATCCTAAAAAAGATCTCACTCGAACGGTTTAAAATGGCAGTCTGCTGTGTTGCCTAAAATTCCAAACCGCACCGTAAAAAGTGATCAATTTCGACGTACCGTACTTTTTTAAAGAAAAAAACACAAAAACTTCAAATCTAATGGGAATGTTTATTATCATTTGAAAGAACATTATTTGGCATTTATTTTTTGAAGATTATCTCTTTCAAATGTTGATCGCGACTACGTCTCAGTTGGTCTATTATCGATAATTCTACCGGCCCATAAACCACGTCACAGCGTTGTTCGTTCAGGATGAAATGGCAACTGTTGTCTGTATACTTGTGTACACAGGTTTCGTTCGGAAAGTAATTAGACTGAGTCTATTTAAAAAAATTTATTGAACCAACTATTACAATTCTTTAAAAAATAGGCTATTGTTGCGTCGATGCTGCGCTGCCAACGCGATTTCTAAGCATTGAAGGCGTCACGAAAGGCATTCTCCGAAATAGCCTAGAGATCCGAGGTGATTGCTGCTTGGATTCCCTATGTCGTCTCAAAATGTTTGCCTTTCATCAGTATTTTGGGGCAGCATACTCCAAGATACATGACTCGTCGCTTGTGTTTACGTTATTCAAAAATTGGGGGTCAGTTTCACACATATGTTCAAATTTTCTTGGCACACTTCCACTCGTCGCAATTTCTGGTCGTCAATGAGCAGTTTCGGGAACATCTTCGCGTACACTTTGCGTAAATTCAAGTGCTCCGTCACAATATCATGAAGCAAAGATTTTTATAAATCTAACACCTGGACAACTAAACGAATACTTAGTCGACGGTCTGAGTTCCAAAAATTGCGCGCACGGGTCACATTGTCGGTGATGGTCGAAGTCGCAGGTCTCCCAGCACGGTCTTCATTAGCGACCTTTTGCCGGCCTTCCAAAAAGCCCTGGTGCCACCGAAACACACCACTTCTTGCTAAAGCAACATCTGGATAAGCCTACTTGATCATATTAAACGTCTCAGATTTGCCGAGTTTCACACAGAATTTAATCGCGTACCTTTGTTCTAATGAGACATCTGAAATTTTGCTCACAGCCTTTTCTCTTTAAGAAGCTTGCATGTGAAACTTTTTTATTGACAATTTTTTTTTCATTTGAATTTCCTCAACAGAGAATGATTGCGCATGAGCAATATTCAAGCTTTTTAAACTATTTCGACATAGCAGTGATTGAATTGGCTAAAGCGGCCGTATACAGTCTAACTGTGTATCCGACATGCCTGCATACCGATCAAACAGAGTTACCTGATGGCATTAAACTAACTACGGCTGGATGGGGATTTACTGAGAATGGAAGTATGTTATAAAGCCCTAAAAAATGTGATGTCAGTTTCAGTGACATTTTTAATATTTATGCGCGTTTTACTTGTATATATTTTTTTAATTTTTATGCTTTGGTTATAGAGACCTCCGAACATTTATTAGCGGTGGAAGTGAATAAATTATCGCTTTCACATTGTAATCAAAGTTATGCGCTTGGACGTGGTTTAGAACATGGCATTGACGATACACAACTCTGTGCCCTTGCGCACGGAAAGGATTCGTGTTACGGTGACTCCGGTGGCCCTTTATTTCTAAGTAAAAATGCGGCTTATAACATGTACAGAGTCGTCGGGATCGTTTCCTTTGGTTCAAAAGCATGTGGTGGAACTGTGCCGGGTGTATATACCAGAGTGTCAAAGTTTTTGGATTTCGTTGAAGCCATTGTCTGGGCGGATGAACTGCACTAAAGTTAGTGCATATTTACACAGTACCCATCATAAATTAATAGACATAATTATAATTAACTAACTTGATAATAAACATAACTACAACTATTTAAGCGTTTGTGGAATAAAAAGAAAATCTATGAGAATTATAACAGTAAATGACACGAAGCTGAGAAGTGATTCTAACACAAGCTGTTGTTTTAAAGAATACGGTGAGAAAATTGGCAGATCAGTTGCTCTAGTCGATCCGGCTCCGAAGTCATTACAGTCCAAAGAGTTTTGGCCCAACATTCGTAGCCAGGCTGCGACATTCGATCCATGAAAACTTCTTCGATAATTTTGTAATATGGTTTCCCCTGATGTCTTTCTTAGGATAATCAACATTCCAGGCGGTTTGGACTGTGATTTATTCTCAAAACATTCAAAAGAACTCAAAGCAATTCCACTAAGCAACGTAACCCATTTTGGTGATTTACTATATATTAGTCTACGTGAATGAGTGTGGTACTTAAAAGATATAAGACACTGTTCACTCAATGGTTTCTAAAAACATTTTCAAAATTATAGCCTCTTCTACTCTCGTATCGGGTTAGGATCTTTTTGTGGTACACAACAAAATATAGATAGAGTGTTGCTCGCAAAGGTCTTAGCTTAAAGAGTAGTTCGACAGCTAAAATTCTATAAATCAATTATTAATGACATTTTTTAGTGGGTGTTTGAGTTATTATAGATTTTTTTCGAATGATAAAGTATTATACCATGTATTAAAGCGTTTCGAAAGTGCTAACTCTTGATAGCATGTTATTAAGGCACTCGTACATACTCGGCAGCAGTGAATTATGTACATGTGGGGTGGGATAAAAAAGAAAGTGAGACGCTTTTGCAGCCGCAAAAAGAGTTTAGCATCTTGAGAAGCTGGTAGACATGGTTTATGGTCGAAATTTCTTTGAAAAGATGCGGCTACTTTTAGAAGGTAGGTTTTAAGACCGGAACATACTCATTGAACAACCAATAAAGTGATCTAATCAACGATGCCCAGAGCGTACTGTATTTAAAGAAGGCAAACTTTTTCTGTTAAATGGCAGTGAAAATGCGACAGCCGAAGATGTTAAGCCCGAAACCGAAGTTGAAGTCGATAGATGGAATAGACATTATAATATTCGCCAATGACGAATATCAAACGAACTATACAAATACGGCAGCGCAGAACTGTTAACGGTATTTCCAATTGGGGCTAAACTGCGAGAAGAAGAAATGAACGGCGCGCCATTGTTGATTCGGCTATAACCGCGTAAGCGCTGCCTACGCCTATGTAGTAGTATCAGTACATTTATATTTTCAAAAATCTTTATAAGAAACAAACATCAAATTTCCTGTAAATGCGYATACATACATACATGTGTATGTGTTATCAGCTTAACGGAGCCCGCAGTACAATCGCTAAAAAATGCATACTTCACGAGAGGCACGCAGAAATGATCGGACAGTTATTGTGAAAATAAGTGCTTGATAATAAGTACTGAATAGCGCTCGGAAGTTTTGATATTATTTTGAGGTAAGAGCTATTCAATTCAAACGACGGTTGTAAAAGATAAGTGCGTTTGCGAAAGTCAGAAAACACCTTAAGTGAAGTGAACTAATATAGGATTAAGACCAAAGGTCATACGAAGCGCATATAGAATAATGGAGAATTGCTGGACTGTTGGAAAAATTAAATTAACATATCTAAGGTCAATTAAGTCAGTGTAATAAGCACTAGAGTTCGTGGAAAAATTTATTTCTAACTTTTTTGTGGGGTTTTTTTCAATGAGTCTGTTTTGATTTGGACTAACCAATACATATGTGAACTATTTCTATAATATATGGTACACATATAGATGACATATTATATATACTTGTTCTTGGAACCCAAACAAATAAACATTTTTCAATCGACAGCTTTTGATAAGACTCATAACAATGCGAGTTCTACTATACTTTGCAACACACTCAAATCTTAATTATGTAGGAATTTTAACAATGGTTTTTATTTATGCTGAGATTATTTTTTCTTGGAATCTATAACCTTGCAAAAAATTACTGTGATATTGAATATTTGCGCATTGCAAGAGCTTAGATTTTGCTCAAGAGATCTGAAAGGTAAGGGAAGGTAAGAGACTTATCTACTAAAATTATGTCAAGTAGGTCCTGTACCAAGATGATATTTCATATACAAGTATACAATACACTGTGAGAATCAAACGATAACCATGAGCATATTTTTGCAGTTATCTGGAATGAATTTGATCCCTCCTAATCAGCCTTTAAGTTTGCTTCAACTTCGAATTGCTTCATTATAAATTTAGTATACTAAATAGGCGCTAGGTTTGCGATGAAGATTCTTACGATTTATAAACTCAGCGCGCTTGTTCGGATACTTATTCTGCTCGCTCTGTGCGGTCTTAGTAATGCACAAGTACTTTACGGTAAATATACGGCAATATTTAGATATTACAATATTTTATTAGACGAACTAAGTAATCGTTACTGATAAAATTCTAGTTGACGACTTTTGCGATTTTGCTGGCTACGATGGCATATGTTTGGAAGCTAGCAAGTGTACTGACTTGCAGGCCAAAATGCAGGCACTGGATTTGGAAAGCCATCATGTGGGTCGCTGTGGCTTCGGCGTTAGAGAGGAGATTATATGTTGTCCGTAAGATTGATTTGGTATATTTTCAACAGTCTATTTTTATAAAAGTCTATAACTTTAAAAAAAATATTTGCAGAAAGTGGCCAACACCTGTGCAAACACCACCCAAACTTCCCAACGCTTTTATAGATCTCTCCAAACAGCCTGAGTTTGAATATAGGCCGCCAGCAGACAACTTTGGTCAAGCTGGAAGTGGGAATAATGTGAGGGAATGGCAAGGCGACAACGGATTTTTCGGTGGAAATCCACTCTCGAATGCACAGGATAACCAAAATTTAAATGGCAGCCCTGTTAGCGATGAAAATGAAAGAATTAATGCCATATTCGGCAATAACCACGAACAGAACGGAAATGATAACAGTCAAGATGAAAAGAAGGCCAATTCTTTCCCGGTTGTAAATGAAAATAATAACGGAGTTTTCATTGCAAATCCAGTGCCAAATGTACAGGATAACCATAGTTTAAATGGCAATCCTCTTATCGATGAAAATGAAAGAATTAATGCCATATTCGGCAATAACCACGAACAGATCGGAAATGATAACAGCATAGATGAAAACAAGGCCAATTCTTTCCCGGTTGTAAATGAA